AAACACAGGCAGAAACTCCCTGCTGAACCAGAGACCACACTGGTCACCAGACTACAGATAAATGGCCCACCCAAAAACCTCCTCCAGTCTCTCAGTGCCCCCCCATCCTCCCACAAGTTTCTCCAATCTCCACTTCCCTCCTCATCACAGTATCCTGCCCCCAACTCTGGCAGAGGACCCTGATGGACCAAATGCCACACTAGTCACCAGAAGTTCAGCCCCCAATTCTGACAGAGATAGCCTGCTGGGCCAGCGGTCATACAAGCTGCCAGAAATTCAGGCCACAAAGACCAGAAGACCAAAGAGGAAACAGAAACCAAGGAACAAAACATCCATCCAGCAAAGACAAATTCAGAAATTGGCACCTAGACCTATAATCACCTGGAATCCAGATGCCTAGACCCCAGGAACACAACCAACAACAGGCAGAGTGATACTTCACCAGAAATGAACCCAGACATCCTACCACAGCAAGCCCTTAATATTCTAACACAGCTGAGGCAAAAGGAAACAATCTTACAACCAATTTTATGAAGATAGAGGTCCTTAAAAAAGAAATGAATACATCCCTCAAAGAAATCCAGAAAAACACAAACAATTGGAGAAAAGGAGCAAGCCCCTTAAAGAAGGCCAAGAAAGAAAAAAAAAAAAGCAAGAGACAGATAAAACTGGTTAAGACCGGAAATTGAAAACAGAAGCAATAAAGAAAACACAAACTGAGGGAATTCTAAAATGAAAAATCTAGGTAAATGAAAAGGACTATAGATCACCAACAGAATATAAGAAATGAAGGAGAGAATCTCAGGTGTTGAAGAATGATAGAAGAAATAAATACATCATTCAAAGAAAATGTTAAATCTATAAAATTTCTGACAGAAAACATCCAGGAAATCTGGGAAACTATAAAAAGACCAAACCTAAAAATAATAGGAATAGAAGAAGGAAAATAATCCCAGTTTGATGGCACAGAAAATATTTTCAACAATATCATAGAAGAAAAATTTCCCAACCTAAAGAAGGACATGCCTATAATGGTACAAGAAGCTTACAGAACACTAAATAGATTGAACCAGAATAGAAAGTCCCCTCACCACATAATAATCACAGCAGTAAACATACAGAACAAAGAAATAATTTTAAAAGCTGTAAGGGAAAAAGGTCAAGTAACATATAAAGACAAACCTATTAGAATTATACCCTACTTCTTAACAAAGACTCTAAAAGCCATAAGGGCTGGACACTAAGAGCCCACAGATGCCAACACATATTACCATAACCAGCAAAACCTTCAATCACCATAGATGGAGAAAACAAAATATTCCATGATAAAGTCAACTTTAAAAAATATCTATTCACAAATCCAGCCCTATAGAAGGTATTAAAAAGAAAACTCCAACCTAATGAGTTTAAATACACCCATGAAAACACAGGAAATAAATAATCTCATACCGGCTAAATCAAAGACGGGAAAGACAAACACACACTACCACCACCACCAATAATAACAAAATAACAGGAATTAACAGTCACCAACTATTAATAGCTCTCAATATCAATGTACTCATCCCCCCAAAAAAAGATACAGGCTAATAGAAAAACAGGATCCATCCCTTCTGCTGCATACAAGAAACACACCTCAACATCAAAGATCGACATTACCTCAGAATAAAGGAAAAGATTTTTCAAGCAAATGGACACAAGAAGCTAGATGGTAAAATTATTCTAATATCTAACAAAATAGACTTCAAACCAAAAAATAACCAAAAGATATGGGAAAAGACACTTCATATTCATCAAAGGAGAAATACACCAAGATGACATTTCAATTCTTAACATCCATGCCATAAGCACAAGGGCACCCACATTTGTAAAAGAAACATTAACAAAACCTAAATCACACAATAACCCTCACACATTGATAGTGGGAGACTTCAATACTCCACTCTCACCAGCACATACATCATCCAGACAAAAACTAAACAGAGAAATACTGGAACTAACATACATTATAAATCAAATGGGCCTTACAGATATCTACAGAATATTTCACCCAAACACAAAAGAATATATCTTCTTCTCAGCACCACATGGAACATTTTCTAAAAATGACCATGTACTTGGTCATAAAGCAAGGCTCAACAGATGAAAGAAAATTGAAATACCCCATTGTATTCTATCAGGCCACCACGAATTAAAGCAGGATATTAACAACAGAAACAACAGAAAGCCTATAAACTCATGGAAACTGGACAACTCTCTACTGAATGACTACTGTATCAAGGCAGAAATAAGGACATGAAAGACTTCTAGAATTCAATGAAAATGAATGCACAACATATCCAAACTTATGGGACACAATCAAAGTGGTGCCCAGAGGAAAATTCATAGCACTAAGTGTCTACATAAAAATATTGGAGAGATCTCATACTAGTAACTTAACAGCATACCTGAAGGCTCTAGAACAAGAAGTAAACACACCTAAAAGGAATAGATAGCAGAAGTTAACTGAGGGCTGAAGTCAATAAAATAGAAACAAAGAGAACAATACAAAGTATCAATGAAACAGAGTTGGTTCTTTAAGAAAATCAACAGGACAAACTAAAAGATGAGAGAATATTCAAATTAACAAAAAAAAAAAAACAGAAACAAAAGGGGGGACATAACAGACAGTACACCAAGGAAAGCCAAAGAATCATTAGGTCATACTTTAAAATCCTGTGTTCCACAAAATTGGAAAAATTTTAAAAAGGACAATTTTCTCAATAGCTACCACTTACCAGCATTAAATCATGATCAGATAAACAATTCAAATAGTCCTACAGTCTATAGTCCCGAAGAAAATAGAAGTAGTCATTATAAGTATCCCAACTAAAAAAATCCCAGGACCAAATAGTTTTAATGCAGAATTCTACCAAACTTTCAAAGAAGAGCTAATGCCAATACTCCTCAAATTATTCCACACAATAGAAACAGTAGGAAGATTGTCAAATTCATTTATGAGGCCATAGTCACCCTGAAACCCAGACCACACAAAGTCTCAACAAAGAAAGAGAATTACAGATCAATTTCCCTCTTGAACATTAATGCAAAAATGATCAATAAAATACTCACAAACTGAATCCAAGAACACATCAAAAAGATAGTCCATTATGATCAAGTAGGCTTCATCCCAGAGATGCAGGGATGGTTCAACATGTGGAAATCTGTCAATGTAATCCACCATATAAACAAACTAAAAGAGAAAAAGCACATGATCATCTCTGTCAAATGCTGACAAATGCTGTCAAATGCTGACAAAGCCTTTGACAAAATGCAATACCCCTTCATGCTAAAGTCTAGGAGAGACAGCAATACAAGGAACATACCTAAACATAATAAAGGCAATTTACAGTAGCCTATAGCCAATATCATCTTAAAAGCAGAGAAACTCAAAGCAATTCCACTAAAATCAGGAATGACATGGCTGTCCACTCTATCTATTCAATATAGTACTCAAAGTTCTAGTTAGAACAATAAGACAACTAAAGGAGATCAAAGAGATACAAATTAGAAAGGATGAAGTCAAAGTATCACTATTTGCAGATGATACAACAGCTGTCCGTGGGAGAACAGGACCAGGTACAGAACTCATCTTCCAGCTTTCATTAGACTCCATCTAGATATATGCATTAAATTAGTTAACAGTTAAAATAACACTACTTAATAACTAACTGATGTTTTGAAAACAAGACAAAAACCAGGGTATAGGTCAAATAAAATACATTTATGGACCAAATCTGGCTCCAGGTGTCATACCTGGGAGTCTCTGTCTTACATGTTTTGTTGGCTTCCTAAATCCATTCCTACCCTGCATGTCACCTAGCCTGGCCCTAGGAGAGACATCTGTCCACTTGACCTAGGAAGCAGGCAGTGCTAGCATTAGGAGCCAGGATGGAGTTAGCATCTCAAGATCAGGGAGTGCTCTTTGCCATGGATTAGTATGGTAAATCTCTCAGGAACTCAAGACTGAAGAGGCTTACCCTTTTAGATTCAGATTTGATGTCTAAATAGCTCTACTTTGACAGGCAGTAACCCAGCGGAGACTGAATCTTAATCAGGTAAATGTTTTATTTAAGTCTCCATATGACCCTGGCATGTCTCAGAATCACTACCACTAGAGTCCTAACACTGTCCTTACAATTTAATGGGTGTCCCAAATTTCTCACCTCTTTCATGTATACAAGAAGGGAAAACAAATGGATTAGAGTAGTGGTAACTACGTTTCAACATGTTCTATCCTGTAAACTATTAAAGCTTCCCAGAAACCTGAAAATGTTTTTGAAAGCAATTTTGTGAAAACATTTACAAAAAGGCAACTTTGTTCTAAACCTTCAAATTACAGGCACAATAGTTCAGAGACTGATGACATTAACTCTAGTCCAGTACATTATACTGCTACTTAGTACCTTACTACTTGCATTGGCAATGAGCATGTACCAGAGTTCAGACCTATTTGATGCAGCATAGGTGCTAATGGCTGCTTCTGGCAATACTCAGTGCATTGCCAAAATATACTCTGGCCAGCGAGGTGGCAAAAGCATAGCACTGCATTCTGATTCACTAGTGCTGAGAACATGCAATATTAACCAGCACTAATTTTGGAAAGTTTGTAGCAAGGGGATGCACTAGTCACAGATATGTGTGGAAAGAAAAGCATATGTATGAGGAAGACAGGTGTTAAGGCTGAGAAGCAAATACAGATCTGTCACCAGGAAAGTAAGTGATTGCCCAATTTAGCTAACCCAAAACATTAAAATGCACAACATGACTTAGAATATTGCTTCAAATTTCAACTTAACACTGAAGAACAGTGTGCCAACAACTAGCTACCTTATATGCATGACTCTGACTCCTGGAACCTGAAAGATTGAGGTTATGTTAATGCATATGTGGAAGGTTATTAAATGCTTCATAATGATTATGCTAAAGGTCATATTCCTCATACACATAACCTCACTTACTATTATGAGTTAGGCATGTACATGAGCAGACAATGGTCTTCTTCCATTAAATGCAAACTGGTTGAAATTACTGCTGAAGTTGCCTGGCTGTAAGAGAAAAAGAGATCAAATTAATGAGGATGAGGTTGTATAATCAGTTTATGATACAAATTATACTGGGGTCAAGGCTGATATCACCAGCTCCTACATACCAAAATACACTTTAAACTGTGACTCCTCTCCTTTTCTCATACTACGACAAACTCTAAGTCAAGCTGTTTCTTACTGCTCTTCCATTCAAATATACCTGAAAAATCCATGTATTTTAGCTAACTCTACTTTGATCATGCCACCAACTGCAGAAACCTCTGAGGGCTGGTTCCACACTGCCAGAAGGACAGACACCTCCTTGGCAGGGCATTCTTGGTTCTCCTAAGTTTGGCCAGTACCTCAAATCCAAAAGTTTTCAACCTTAGCTGAATATCAAAACCAGCAGGGAAGATTTAAAAGAGAAATATGTTGTTAGCCCATGCTCTAGAAACTATTTAACAGTTCTCAGGTAAGATTCTAAGACTTGCTGCTTTAGGAAATCTGGGTGACACTTCTGATCTGCCGTGACTGAAACACTTAACTAATTTCCCACCTATTGTTGTACACATCATAACCCAACACATCTGTTCCAGACAGTGGTGAAAGCTTGCCTGCCTCTAGCCCTCTATTCAGGCAGATTAGCTTCTAGACTATCATTTCTTCCCCAACTCTAGTTATAGCTCCTCCATTCTTCTGAAACACAGTGAACCTCTACCACCATCTTTAGAAATATGGCAATCACAATGGGGTTGCCATTCTGAGCATCCTAAACCCACCACTAATTTCCTCTGTAAATTATTTTATGGCAATGATACTGAGGATGCTTCTTTAACACCTTGAGCCCTGTATTTCAGGTCCCTAGGGGGAAGGTAAACTTTCTCTAGCATTTTTTGTTCACACCCCCTGGCCTCTAGCTTTAATAATAGTATTAGGCATAAATCAGGTACTCATGTGTGTAACACTTAATGATCACTGAATAAATTAAATCCTCTTAAATTTATGAAGTGATTTTTCTTACAGTCTGACAACCTTAGCTGTCAACCTTGAGGGTTGTTTATGCACACAGTGACATGTTTTTCACTAGAAGCATCATTATACCCATGTAGAAATGATAATCACTTGTTCACAAAACCTGACGTGATGTCAAATATCTATTAATGTGTTTTCCCTGTAGATAGAATGATTTCCATGTTTATGTATTTTCTATGCATATGCATGTATTATGCTATATGTGAATGAACAGAAAGGGATAATAAAACAGCTCATGTCTCTATGCCTGCTTAAAAAGGCCTTCCCAAGCAAAGAAACAGCTGGGCCCATCCTAATCCACCATGGGGAGGACCAGTAAGCCAGAGTGCTTCTCCCTCAGTTTAAAGAAGTGCTTCTCAGCCTTCTAATGCTGAGACCCTTTAATACAGTTCCTCATGTGTGGTGACTCCCAGCCACAAAGTTATTTCACTGCTACCTCATAACTGTAATTGTATTACTGTTATGAATTGCAATGTAAATATCTGATATGCAGAATATCTCATTTTCAACCCCTGTGAAAGTATCATTCGACACCCAAGGGGTCATGACCCACAAGTTGAGAACCTGTGGTTTAGAATGTCAGGAGCCTATAGGCCAGTGTCTATGACACAGTCCCCAAAGCCGAGTTGTACTGGAAGGAGAGTAGCCAGCATGACTACCAGAGCTCTAGCTCGGCCCATAGAGTTCGTGATCCATCTTGAGAGCCTTCCAGACACAGAGGTACAGCTTCTCCACAAAACGGCATAATACATGGCATCTGCCTAGAGGTGAAGCAGCAGCTTATGAGTTAAACAGTCCTGCGAGTGCCGGCTGAGACACTAACCACTATTTATAACATTGTTTTTGTGGAAAAATGCCTTCTGCATTCCAAACACAGATCAGACACTAACTTCTGGGATAAAGATTATTTCTGAGGTTGGGACTGACTGTATCTTGTTAATTGCACTATGTTCAGTATTTTCCTAGGCTAAGACAGCAGTCAGGAGAGCATAACAAGAATAACTAGCTGCCATGAACATGGGTCAGAAGTATCCATGAGAATGAACACCAGAGGGTAAGATGGGAAGAAATCCAAGTACATTCTTAGTTTGCTAAATGAATATTAATGAACACTATTAAAGGCTATGCTAAATGTTGTGGGAGACAAAAATTAGGAAAGATCTTTGATTTGTAACCTTAATCTAGGGTGGGGCACAGCAGATAGAAACTTCATACAGAAAGCTATGTGGTAAAACATAGGGATACAAACATTAGATTCAGGCAGCAGAGAAAGGAGTGGGGGGAGGAGCGAAGTGCTTTCAGCTGGAAGCTGAATCTTCATGGAGGTTTTATGGGGTATGGTAGTTTGAATGAGAATGGCTCCTTCCTTAAGTCTCAAGCACTTGAACAATGGGACCCTGGTTGGGGCCTCTGTTTGGGGAGATCTAGGAGGTGTGGCCTTGCTGGAAAATGTATGTCACTAGGGGTGGGCTCTGAAGGTTCAAAGCCTCACTATTCTCAGTGCTTGCTCTGTCTCTCTGTCTGTCTCTCTGTCTGTGTCTCTGTCTCTCTCTGTCTGTATCTGTCTCTGTATGTCTCTGTGTGTCTGTCTCTCTCTGTCTGTCTCTGTCTCTCTCTCCCTCTCCCTCTCCCTCTCCCTCTCTATGTCTCCATTCCCCCTCTCTCTCCTTTATGCTTGTGGTTCAAGGTGTGAATTCTCAACTTCCTACTCCAGCTTCCATACCTGCTGCTGCTTCCACCTTGCTGTTATGGACTCTAAACCCCTGGAACCATAAGCCAAAATTAGCTCTTTCTTGCGCAAGCTGTCTTCATTATTTATCACAACACAAAATTAATACACATGGGATTTAAGACATAAAAGAAGCACCAAGTATAGTTTAACAGAAACCACCACAGACATCAGAAGAGTACAAGTATCATGAATAAAAAAAATCACACCATAGATTTAAGAAGTTATTGACATACCACTTCCCAAGGCAAATTTCATATACAGGAGAACTATATGTACTCTGAGAAATTTGAGAGTCAAAAAGTGGCAAAGGTGTCAGTCACCTTTATTCTTTGCTCTTAAGTCTGTCTTCTAACTTCCAAAACTTTCATACTGGATGATGCATAACATTCATCTTTATCTGAAATCAAATGGAAGTGTTAAAACAGAAAGAATTTAAAAAAAAAACAGAAAGAACTGATAGGTAGCTTATAGAAACTAATTAGATGATTGCACCTGAAAAGTAATAAAATTTATATGAAGCACTATAAAATTGATATCTGTGATTCTATGAGTCATTGAAGAACCTAAAATAAAACCCTAAGCCCTGCTCAGCAACTTTTAAAGATGAGATATATAATATTCTTCTTCATTTATTTTACTTCAGAATAATAAAACTTTGAGAAAAAATGTTATTCACTATTTAAGTCTGGTTTAAAGTGACAGACAATCAGGAAAGGCTTCCATTGAAGTTGGTCCAGTCAGTGCTACAAATAATACAAAAATAATACAAGGCTTCTGGAAGTTCAATTACTACAAGATGAGGGAAGGCTCTGCCCTCTGGGAAGAAGATAGAGGTGAGCAACAGAAAGCTGACATGCAATTAAAGGGGGGGGGGGATTTGGGGTTGAGATTTATTTTAAGGAGTTAATTACTAGATTCATTACATGGGGCTTCAATTTCTTCCTTCACTTCTTCAATTTCTACATAAAATAAGCCACAAAAGTTTTTTAGTCAAAATCATATTCAAGTTTATATTTTAAAAGCATGGCTATTGGGCTGAAGAAATAGCTCAGTGGGTAAGAAAATGTACTGCACACATGAATCTGGATCCTAGCATTCATGTAAAACACTAGACATGGGCATAGAGTGTGCCTCCAATTGCAGCATGATGAAGAACAAAGACAGGTCTGGGGTTGGAGTCAGGAGGATTACCTGGGCTTGTTGGCTACTACAATAGCTCCAGATTCAATAAGAGACCCCATCCTAAATGAAGAAGGTAGAGAATGACAGAGTAGAACACCTGATGTTTGCCTCTGGCCTCTACTCATGTGCTACAGGCATTCACATACACACCCTATATTTACATGCATACATAAGTCACACTCTCTAAATGAATTTGATTATTTGTATTCTAGAACATGGATGAGATACTGTGAGAGGACTCCATAAGCAGGGAATCCCTGTTGTTACTGCAGTAGCCAAGCTGAGAAGAATCTGGCATAGCTTCAATAGAAGTAAAATGTTTAAAAACTCACTGAAGATGTCCTTCAGAGGGGGAATTAGATTAATGACCCCATCATCACCCCAGTCTAACAACTGGAACCACCATCAACCTTGCCACACAATGACAAACACAGGTGATCTGGGCTGTAATAGTTTGTCTTTCTAATCAGAGTCATTAACTAGAACCATAAGAAATCTGTTCTAGAACATCAGAGCCCAATCTGACCAATAGACACAACACAGCACACTCATCTGTCTGAAAGGTCAGCTACAGAATGGTCATGGGGCTGCTTGCACTGCTCTAATTTAGTGTTTGTTCATCTCATAAATATTTTACTTATGTGAGGATGGGATTCCATACAAGAAAACTATCCACCAATGAAAGAAAGGCAAAGGGGGTGGGGGATGACCTGCTCTGTTCTGTCTCCTTAGGGAAGAAAGCTAAGATGAACTCTATGGTCACTTGTGATCTAAGAAATTTCAGAAAGGCAGTGAAAGAAAATAAGAAGCTTCTATGAATTGGGAGATTTAGAAGAAAGCAGTGGAATTAGTAAACTATATTATGTGTATTTATTATTATCACTTAAAATCTTTTCTTAGGGCAGATACAAATTTAAAAATTATTAAGCTATATTTTAAAGCTATTATGGTTACCTAAAACCAAATGCTCAGTCCTGAAAACATGCGTAGGAATAACAGGTTACTGAGCAGGTTGTAGTTAGAGAAATACACACACACACACACACACACACACACACACACACACACACACACACAATTAATTTAAAAGAGGCTATGACTGTGAAAAAGAGCAAGGAGGGGTAGATGGATGGGTTGGAGAAAGGAAAGGGACAAATGATGTAATTATATTATAATCTCTAGGGAAAAATAATTAAAACAACAAAAAGGAAATAGTTCTCTCATGGGCTACCACTAGTTTCAGTATCTGCTTAGGGCACAGCAAATACTACTCTCAGCCTAAAACAGAGAAACTTTTCTATGTAATGAATGAACTTCTCTACGTAAAGAGATGCATGGCTGATCAGTGTGCTGAGAAAAGTGACAGTTGATGCTCAGCCCCAAACAGGACTCCAAGACTCAGGAAGTAACTAGAAAGAAGAGGCAGAAGGAATGTTATAAGCTGAACGATGGGGAGAAGGGCGGTGGGATGCTATCTTGTAGGCACATCACAGTCAATGCCATCATGATATCGCAGAAGCTTCAGGTGACTGCAACAGGCCTGCACAAGACTGGAGCCCTACCATCCCGCTTGAACTACTAGTCACTGATGGTTTCTGGAAGGGTAGCCATTATCTTCAGTTCTACCAGGTTTCAGTCAACGGTGCAGCTCCACACCCATCGTGATGGCTATTGTTGGTTGCCAATTTAACTACATCTGGAAGTTATCTAAAACTCAAAATGGTTGGGCACACCTGTGAGGGATTTTTTTTCCTTAATTAAATCATTTGAAGTGGGAAGATTCACTTCTAGTTAACATCTTTGAGATGAGAAGTTACACCATTAATCTAGCTCTTTTGAGGTGGGAAAATCCACCTTTAATCTGGGTTACCGTCTGTTAACAGCATATATAAGGACATGGAAGAAGGAAGCTTGCTCTCTCTTTGCCAGCTTGCGCTCTCTCTCTCTCTCTCTCTCTCTCTCTCTCTCTCTCTCTCTCTCTCTCTCTCTCTCTCGTTAAAAAGCCTTCTGTAAGTTCCGTTCCTCTAGAGAACCCTGACTAATACACCCATGAGAACACAACTGGCCCCAGTTATAAAACAAAACAAAACTTGAATGGAAAAAAGGGACTTGAAAAGAGGGGAAAAGTGCTTATAAGGGGATCTAGAGAGGCTAGAGAATGTAATCATAATCTGTCAAAGAACAAATTCAGTAAGTTATATAAGAACAAACAGAAATCCCCAAATGATCTGACAGTAACCAGTATTAACACATTCTTTGGGAACAGCTGTGCATTTGTCTCTCCTCTGTATCTTCACTAAAGGAGTGCCTGCTGGATTTCAGCCACAGTACTAAGAGGTGGAAAGACACAGTAAGATACAACTGCTCCCCCATACTCATGATGAAAATTCAAGCAAGGAAGAGCAGTGTATTGACATCAGCCAAGAAGTATGTATAGGACACAAGAAAGCACAGTGTGAGATAGGAATTTTATCAATTAGATTTCCTTTACTGCATATCACCAATGGATTTCGGAAACAGTCATTTACAAATCTTGGTATTTTCTAAACAAAGTGAGTTTACAGATGTCAGAGAAGAAGCTAGTACTCATAAAAGTTTTAAGTAAGTAATCCTTCATAAGGAAGATTTTTCTTTTGTTTTTATTCATAAGGTCACAAAAGGAGTTTAGACTAAAGGAAAAAAACATAGAAACAGTAAAATAAAACAAAACAAAAATGCAAAACAAACAAAAAAATCTGTCTCCTATTCTCTCCTACCACCTCAACCTGTCCTTCTGATACTGAGATAACTTTTAACATCTGGTTAACTGCTGATCATTGGAAGCAACATGGCAACAAGCTTCAATGACATTGTGTGTATCTGCATACCTGTGCAGTGTGTGTGAGACACACTTCAAAATCTGCTCTGCAGGAGATTTTTTGGGGGGATTTAAGAAATATATATATATATTTAAATATAAAAAATGTAATATCAAAACTAGCAAAATAATTTTGTGTGTGCCTTAGTATAGCATTTTTGCATAGTGGAGATAAAATGTTTATTTAAAATCTATATAATGATTTTTAATAAAGGGGGCTGGAGAGATAGCTCAGTTAGCAATGTACTTACCACAACCATGAATACCTGATTCATGTAAGCATAGGGCACAACTGCATATATCTGTGACTCTAATTATAGGGGCTTGGGAGACACTCAGAGTTCATAAGGCAGTCAGCCTAGTCAAATCAATAAACTCCAGGCCCAGTAAGAGACTCTGCTTCAAAAAATACAGGAGAGTGGTCAAGGCAAGGAATACTTCCAACATCAACCTATGGTGGCATCTAGATGCACAAACACATGTGCGCACACATAGGTAAGCACACAATCACACAGACAAATATAAACATGCACACAGTAATACTAATATGAAAGAGAAAATAATGTGAGCTTGCAAATCTAAATACATCCTCCAAGTCAGCAATCATTTTTCAAGACCTGAATACAGGCTTGTGTATAAACACAGTCCTTTATTTTAATAAACATGGCAAAGTACATATAACCTAATGTTCTGCATTCACATTGCTGCAGGCATCTATGCACAGAATGTTTCCCATCTTGCAAAACTGCAACTCTGCATATATTAAATAAGCCTCTGAACTTTACTTTAAAAATCATTTAACAGCAGGTGTTTTACTTGTGGGTCAACAATCTTTTAAGGAATTTAGAAGCTAAAAGCTCAGGGATACCCAGTAAGTTGCTGGCTAGATGAGAGAACCAGCACCCAAAAGCAGGTCAATGGGCACCCTCTGTAGTGATTATGATTTTCACTGCTTTTTTCCATAGGTGATCTGCAGGAGACTTTAATAAGCATTTCTAAAAAAGAGGAAAGAAATTAGAAGGATAGAGTGGGTGTGTCCAAGCTCTCATGCAGGAAATCTGGGCTATAAAAAAATACAAAAGCACACTGTGATTACTCTCAAATCCCCTACAATTAGGCAACAAACCCTTTAATCATGGAATACCATTTGATCATGGAATACCAATTGGCATCTTGAAAGACTCTGGATGGAATACCAACTGACATCTTGAAAGACTCCAGATTGTTACAAAACAGTGTGGGAAGTTAGATGGTTCACGTCTCACTGGCAGCAACACATGCAATTGGACAATGGGCATATCCAGAAGCAGGCATAGGCCATGTGAACTCAGGCCGTCAGCAGACCTAAAACCAAAGCT